TGCGTTATTGTATAATATAAATAAAATATAAAAAAATTATAACTTTCAGTACATTTGATTAAGTTGTGCTGAGTGTGTTCTCTTCATATTGTTATTATACTTACAAAACAAGTAACTAAGTTTATTCATTATGACTTCATCATCTGATCAAATTAATGTTCAAGCTCATCTGGGAACAATGAACAAAGTAGGTTTGTGTGACTGAAAACCACTTTTACATACAAAGGATATGGTCATGAACAAACCCCATTCAATTCTTCACCTGGCACAAAGAAAAACGCGTCATGGCGATGCAATCGCATTAGACACTGAAGAAAACATAATATTTTTACCAAAACGAATGTACGAAACGTTCACCGACGAGCGAGTAGATTATATAAATAAATCAACAAAATTTTCAATCATCTACAAAGGGAGCAAAGTTTTGGGAAATTGAATAAGGTGGAACTCATTGAATTTCAACTAATTTAGCACCAGGTAGCATATACGTTTCTGTAACTTCTATGTTACTAATAATCCATTTCTGGTTCTTAGATATTTTACACCAGTTAGCAATCCGTGTGTGTGGTACTTCTATTCATGAACTTATAATTCGTAGTATTTTTTAATGTTGCTATCAATAATATATTATACATACTAGATATGGATGTTAATTTAATTTTAAATGATTTCATCAAGAAAATTGAGCAAGTTGATAATTTAATAAAGAAAAAAGCTGAATATCAGAATTTTATTTTTTTTTGCATTCGAAATTGTGAAAATCTGGGATTCGAGTGAAAATGTTCAGATATGGTATTTTCTAAACAATGGAAAGTATGTGGATAGCCAATGGATCCGCCATACTTCAACAATAATAACAGCAACAACAACAATAAAAGAGAAAAGTCATTCAGTACTAGGAGCCAATTTTTCAACGGTACTAATCATTATTATGTGTTAATTCTTTCTGTTAAAATTATTGGTCTAATCATTTGTAATTTATAAACATTATTTAAATATCGTTTTAAAAAACAAAATATGATGCAATTAAGAAAATTATTTAATTTTACTTTGTATATGTGTTGATAAAAGTAATAATACAGATAAATAGATAAGAAAAACGAAAAACAGGAAAGAAAATATACCATTTGCAATAAACAGAAAACAAGAATTAAATTGTTAAGATGTACCATTTGAAATAACAAAACAACAGGAAAACAAAACAATTACGTCACAGAAATACCTACCCAAAAACAACGAACCGGAAATCAATAAAGAAAGTTAATTCATGAACGTGTGTGTATGTTATTTTTATAATGTAATAGTAGATATAAATTGCGTGGGTGCTCTTCCAATAGTTATTCTACTTCTGAAACAAGTAACTAAGTTTATTCAATATGACCTCATCATCTGATCAAATTAATGTTGCAGCTCATCTGGGAGCATTGAACAAAGTAGGTTTATGTGACTCAAAACCACTTTTACATATAAATTATATGGTCATGAACAAACCGTATCCAATTCTTCACTTGGCACGAAGAAAAAACGCGTCATGACGATGCAATCGCATTAGACACTGAAGAAAACATGATATTTTTACCAAAACGAATGTACGAAACGTTCACCGACGAGCGACTAGATTTTATAAATAAATCAACAAAAATTGCAATTACCTACGAAGAGAGTTGGGAAATACGTTCCTGCAACTTATCTATGTTACTAATAATCATACAATGTAGAAATCTTCCCGAAGTGAGTTAGTTTTTAATATGAAATATTCTCAATTTTTACCCACTACACACTTCCTCAAATTAATGAGGAAAAATTTTTGTTGCTGTTTTCACACCCCCGCCGGGAATCGAACCCGGGCTCATTCGCTTTACGCGCCAATGCTTTGACCACTAAGCTACGAGAGATGACGCGTAAAGCCAAAGAGCCCGGGTTCGATTCCCGGCGGGGGTGTGACAACAGCAACAAAAATTTTTCCTCATTAATTTGAGGAAGTG